CTGGAGAAATAATTAGAATATTGCTTACGAGCTCATGCCCATGTCCCTAGGGCAAGACAAATTCTTAATCCTGCCCCTTACCCAACAGATATCACCAGTTGATAAATGGCATTTCCACCAGTTAGGTTGGCAGTAGTTTGAACCCTGCATTCCAGGCAGTCTCGATCAAAGCATACTATAGAATTTGCAAGTGAAAAGTGATTCACCAACCGTATTTGACAGGCTCAAACATGAAGTTGTGGCCTTGACCAGTTGGGATTTAATTAATCCTTATGGGTCATTTTTATATTTTCTTTTGAGAAAAAAAAATCTATTCAGATCTTTGATTTTTTTTTTTTCTTGTTGAACCATTTGAGTTCTTTACATATTGTAGATATTACTTTGTGGAACAGATTAGAAAATTTTCTCAATCAGACAAATGGTTGCCTTTTCACCCTGTTGTCCCCTTGACAGATTTTTTTTTAGTTTGACACAACGTCATTTGTTTAATTTTGCTTTTTATTATATAATAGAATATTACTTGGCCACTGAAAGCTATGGCTATGTCGTAGCTAATAGTATGGAAGGACTTACTCAAAAGGTATTGTGTTAAATAAAGCAAGTTACATACAGAAAAACCATGACTTCCCAGTTTCACTCATATATGAGATCTACAACGGTTGACCTCATAGAAGTAGACAACTGAACAGCAGCTACAGGAGCTGGAAAGAAGATGGGGAAGTAGAAACAGCTGGTCCACAAGTACATTGTTAGGTAGGAAGAGTATGTTCTGAAGTGTTGTGACAGAGCAGGAGCAATATATCATACTTAGTCTGTTTTAATTGAATTCACCATATGCAGACGGCGCATCCAAGGTAGTACACTGGTTACTTTGCGTTGCTTGCTACACTGCGTGCACCTACATGAATCAAAGCCCCGCACTAAGCCTCATAAAGTATGTGTAAGCGTTTCGTATCGATAAAAATGAAAACAAACGAAAGGACAGACGCCTGGCACACAGTGGGTGCTTTACCTCTGACGTATGTCCCTGAAGGACTTACAGGATTCTGCTGTGGTCTGACGGCACTCTCTGAGTTGGAGATATTTCATCTCTCTAGAGCCGGGACTCATGGCGGGGCCTTGAGTCCGGTCAGGTGTGAGGGAGTCAATCACACACACCTGCTCTGTTAGGTCAGTCTGCCTACACCTGGCTAAGATGGCCGGTCCTTCATCCCCTTCAGTGCAGGAACTCCTGGGATAATCAGTGGGTCCTGCCTCCCCGACTTTGCAGGACATTTTGGAGCCACGGATGATGGAAAGTTGCCCCAGGACAACTGCAAGTAAAGGGGACCAGCAGGGTCCTGGACAGAGACTTCCCAAATGTGGGAGTCCAGAGGAGCAGAAAGGGGACTGTCCTCCCAGTTAAATGGGGTGGCCAGGTCCCTCCTCTACTACGTGCATCTCCTGCAGATTCTCCAGCAAGGTCCCCCACTGGCCCTCAGCAAAGGGGAGTCTCCTATTCCCTGCCACTTGAGCTTGGGAGCCTGGTCCTTATCCGTATGAGGATGTGTATGAGGTAGGGACACTTCCATGTCCCCACTGATGACCTCGGGAAATTCTGGAGAGAGAACGCCACATGGGGGATGGCAACAGAAATGTGAGCATTTGCACCTCTTCGGCTCAGTTGTCCTGACCGCTCCCCCTTCACCTGTGTCTGGGAAGCTGCTGTGTCTTCCTGCGTGCTGCTTGGTGGAGGTCTGGAACTGAGGGGACCTGGACGGGACACACTGGACCATGTACTGATCATCGGAGCTGTACAGTCTAGAAGGGTGTGCAGTTCAAACTGACCCTCTGTGTCTCTCCCCTGATCCCTCCAGCTCCACCTTGGCTGAGAGATGCTAGAGGATGAGGTACTGAAGGAGACACGTGGAAGGGACCATGGACATGAGGGTAGCCTTGGCACTGGCCAGCATTGCTCTCAAACACAGCTTGGTACTGTAGAGAGGAAGACCCTGGGGGATCTCCACAGGAGCCTCTCCCAAAATCTCTCCTTCTGGGCCTGAAGACCAGATGGGTGAGGGAGGAGAGAAAAGTAGAGGCAGAGACATTGGGATGAAGGAGGTAGTGGGGGGGGGGGGAGGGAAGGGAGCATCACAGCTGTAGAAAGAGAGACCAGATTGGCAAAGGAGGGTAGGAAAGCAAGGGTCGCTGAGGCACCCGCAGTGCACAAGACAGAAAGGCAAGTACAGGGCTGGGCTGCAGCTGCCTAGACACATCTGCCCTCTGCATGGAGACTGGCTGCTGAAATCGAGTTACTTTGAAACCATTTTAAAATCTGCAAGAAGATGGAAAAAGATGCCTCCTCTTCTCGGGGTTAGAAGAGCTTCCTAGATGATTTACATTTCATAAATCGTTGTTCTTTCTCCAGCCTCAGAAAGTAGATCCCAGTAACACTGCTGGAAAAGGGCATGCATGGCTACTTGTGTTGTGGTTGGCTGCCCCCTGCTGGCACAGCCCAGGTTCTGCATGCCGCGGGCTGATCAGAACTGAGATAAAGCAGACTACTCCACCTCCTCTCCCAGACTGTCAGAGCTCCAAAGGGTATCTTTTGTAAATTTTGAATTTGGATTATTATTGGTACAATGTGAAGTTTCACTTGGCCCTCAAGTCCTGGGTTTACCTGACGATTCTCATCTTCATGAGCCGAAGGCTAGCACGCAGCCTCCTGACATGTTTTCTGTATTTCCTAGCAACAAGCTTCTTCCTGTGGTCCTCTTGCTCTTCCCCTACACCCACTTCAGTCCTGCTGAGGCCACCAGGACAGTTCTCTTTCCACAGCCTCTTATCATCTCCTCAGCTTTCTTCTGTTGCCAGCCGTGACAACACCCACTGACCACAGACCTTGTTGAGCTAACTCTATCTACAGATGTAGATACAGATGTCTCCACTGTCCATAGCTGCCAAGTGAGAGGATACCCTGTGAATGCCCAAATGGAAAATAGAACCAAACTAGTCATACTACATTTTTTCTATAGATACTTCATGCCTTTGATAGAGCTTAATTTACAAAGTAGGCACAGTAAAAGATTAATGGCAATAAGCGATATAAAGTAGAAGACTTACAGTAATAAACTATAATGATTTCTAGAGTTTACATTTCATATTTTCAGACTAAGCTAGCGATGAATGACTAAAATCACAAAAAACAACCACAGGTAAAGGAAGGGTGCTATATGTTGATGCGTGTGTGTGTGCGTGCGTGCGTGTGCATGTGTGTGTGTGTGGGTGCGTGTGGGTGCGTGCGTGCATGCGTGTGCATGTGCGTGTGTGCGTTCGTGCGTGTGTGTGTGTGTGTGTGTGTGTGTGTGTGTGTGTGTTTTGCAGGGACTGAAGCCAGAAATTGACGCATGCTAGATAAGTGTTCTACCAATCCAATGAACTTTACATGTATGTGTACATATGTGCCTATGTGTGTGCATATATGTGCCAATGTTTGTGTGAAAAAGTGAGCGTGTGTTTGTATTCTGTGTCTTTAAACAACAGTGATGCCTTCTTTAAGCAACAGTGGGTTACTTAGAGCACTGAACCCTGAGGCTGTCACTGGACAGAGACAGAGCTGGCACACTCTCTGCTATCCAAGAGTGGAGTCTGAGAGGCAGAAGTACCTAGACCATGCAGTTGTCCAACTCTAAAAGTTAGATGTCCTAAGCAGATTCCCATCCCACACTGAATTTTCTATCATTCAGTATAGCAAATTGCCACTATTTTGGTGGATGGTCATGATACCATTTCTCTCTGTAGCTTACAGGATCTGAGCATCAGTGGTCAAATTGGGTCCTATGCTGAGGCTTCACAGAGCATCATTTGAGGTTTGGAAGGGCAATGTTTCTTTCTGGATGACCAGTTCTTGGTGTTGTTGGGCAGATCCCCCTTTCATGTTATCATGAACTGAGAGCAAGCTCAGACCCCAAGAGCCACAGCAGCTCATTGCCACGTGTAGACCTCACAGGCCCTTTACAAGGCCAGCAAGAGACTCTCTAGCTCCAGTCTGTGTAGATGGGTATCCATGGAGGTTGCTACAGTCACAGGCATGACTAGCATCATGAAACAAGCAGAGGAGGAATGAGTCTCGGGGTCTGCTTGTACTCGGATGAGGCAATCATACAAGGGCATGACTCGTGGGAATAACCATGTACATCTTGTGGCGTCATCCTCGGGTTTACAAGCATACCAGCTGTGATATAGAGGAAGAAGGCCACAGCCTGAAGAGGAAGGCTTCTACTTCTGCCGCGTGAGATCAGCTCTGGAACACCAAAGTTCTCTTTGTATACCACCCAGCTTTGACATACACTCCCGTGTTCAATGCCAACTAATAGAGAATCTCACAGAACTGGGTTGGTGTTTTGTATTGTAGGACCAAGCATTTAACATATTACACCATGCTGGTCTTAAAAACCCTGCAACAAGGAATGGTTGTGTTGACCTTGAGAGTCACTGTATGGGTGATGAACTGGCAAGTATGAAATAAATAGCAGGTGACAGGTGCTGACCAAATGTAGTAGTGAGGAGTGCTGGTGTTGATGTCATCAACATCAGCACCACCATCACCTTCCTTATCCCCTGAGAAGAGGATTTGGGGCTCAAAGTAGGTAGATTTGGGAGCTGTTCATTTCAAATAAAAGGCCTAAAACATTGAGGGGGCTGGTGATTGTGCCTGAATTCCTAGACAAGGCTGAAAACAAATATAGCTTGGCGGATCATCAAGTGTATTGACCAGCAAATGTGTTCCAATACACCAAAAAGGCTAAGTAACTGATTCCACCGAGTAGCTGGTCATGTAACCATGTGCACTTTGCTCTTGAGCCTTGTTCGTCATCCATCAGGGTTGGGTGGGGGAATGAAACGGATGACCTATAGAGTGTGTGACACTGTCCAGGGTCTCACTAACCCTTTCTTGCCATAGTCTTCTGGACCAGCCAAAACTAAAGCTCCTTCTTTCCTGATTTCCTCCTTCCCTCTAGGTTCCTGATTGTCCTGGGATGCTTGATTCTGGCCGTGCTCACCACCTTCAAGGAATACGAAACTGTGTCTGGAGACTGGCTTTTGCTACTGGTAAGCTATGGGCTGTTGGCACTATACTCTAGGATGGAAGCTATAAGTCACATTCAGCTGTAGGGAGCCAACCTCTGGAAACTCTTGCCCTGGATTGCAGCTTCCTGATGTGTCCAGCCAAGTCTGGGTCCAAGAAAAAGCAATGCCTCTCTTTCCCGGCCAGGCATGCAGTAGGCATAGCCTTCCGGACAGAAATGTAGGGACACACAGGTTCAAGTCAAAACCATCATGTGTCATATGATAGGACACAGCTTTCTGGCCCTCCAAAAGTTCCCCTAAAGTCATACTCCATTCTAAACCCTGACCCTCCTTTGGTTTCTCACTTTGTAAACTGGGGATGATACTAAGAAACCCTTGAGGCGATGGCTGACGCATACGCTAAGGTGATCAACATTGGCCAGCTAGTCATACCAGTGTCTGAGCACTGTGGGTGAAATTGGAAGATACTGCTTGACTTCACTCCTTAGGGATTGTTTAATACATCAAGGGACTTTAAAACTGATTGCTTGGGATGGAGTCTTTGGAAAAGAAACATGCGCATTCATTTGGCATGGATAGTTAACATGCCAAGGTGAAGATGGGAGCTCTTAGAAACTGGGTGGATGTAGCCACCTGTCACCCTCCCTTCCCTGGCCCCAGAAGTCTCAGTACCAGAAGAGCAGCAACAGAAACCCAGGAAACCTAGTTCCTCTGATCTCAGTAGCCCTGACACTGGGTACCGGGTAACCCCACCCCATATGCTCTTCCGCGCAGGAAACATTTGCTATTTTCATCTTTGGAGCTGAGTTTGCTTTAAGGATCTGGGCTGCCGGATGTTGCTGTCGATACAAAGGCTGGCGTGGACGGCTGAAGTTTGCCAGGAAGCCCCTGTGCATGTTGGGTAAGCCCTGGCGACGGAGTCCAGTGGCGACTTCGTTCCTCCCTTACACTATTTTTCTGTAAGGATGCATAGAGTGACACAACATGAGATGCTGAAAATCCGTCACCCGGGATTGTTCCTTGAGATATGGTAAGGGTAGTGAACCCCGGTGGTTAGGGACTGGGCTCACTGTTAGCATCTGGGTTGCGAAAAGCCACAGAGCACCAGGTAGTGTGTGTCCCAGTACTTAGACCAGGAGCATTCTCAGTCACCAGTATCGCTCTAATAGCCTGTGCCTTCCAGGCCGGCAGGGGTAGGAAGTGCATCACCACTGATGATTGAGAGGCCCTCCTGTCAGACCACATTTATTATCTCCTGTTTGATGGAGATAGAAGCTGAAGTTCACAAAACTGAGGTCTTCCAGTCTTGAGTTACTGTTCTATTGCCGTGATAAAACCCCGTGACCAAGGCCAACTTCTTAAAGAAAGCACTTAATCAGGGCTTGCTTGCTGTTTCCAAAGGTTTAATCCATAACCATCATGGTGGGGGAGTACAGTGATGGGCATGGCACTAGACCAGTGGCTAAGAGCTTACATCCTGAAATGCAGGCATCAGGCAGAGAGAGAAAGAGAGAGCACCTGGGCCTGGTGTGGGCATTTGTAACCTCAGAGCCCACCTCCCCCAGTGGCACAACCCCTCCAACAAGGCCACACCCTCTCTGACCATGCCTTCTAATCCTTACCAAACGGTCCCACTAACTGCCACCAAGATATCAAACACATGAGCCTGTGGGGTCCATTCTCACTCAAACCACTCCAGTCTAAAAGTTCTAGAAGAACCCAGTGCCTCCCGACTGATCATTCAATCAATCACACCCAAGTCCCCATCTCTTGACCCGCTTATTTAAAGCAGACTCTGAGAACAAGCTTCACTACTTTGTCCTGAGCGATCCCTGATTCCCTCTTCTCACAACTCGTCTGAGACCAAATGCCAAGTGCCACGCCAGGGACCTTGGGAAATGGTACCTCTGAGCTCTAGAAGCGGAGGCGAAGCCTAATGGGGGTCTCTCCTGGGACATCATTTGAGCTCGGTGTTTCTGTTTCTCATCATTCGAGGCATAATTCACTACTGCTGTCGCTGGGCTGATGTCACTCTCAACAGAAACACTTAGGTCAGCCCCTGTCTGTTTGACGCATGCTCACCAGCCCCCAGATAGAGCTCTCTATGGTGCTTTCCCCCCCACACACGACCCTCTCCCTGTTCTCTGCCACGCTCTGTCCTCTCTACTTACCAGACATCTTCGTGCTGATTGCCTCTGTGCCAGTGGTTGCCGTGGGAAACCAGGGCAATGTCCTGGCCACCTCCTTGCGAAGTCTGCGCTTCCTGCAGATCCTGCGCATGCTTCGGATGGACAGGAGGGGCGGCACCTGGAAGCTCCTGGGCTCAGCCATTTGTGCCCACAGCAAAGTAAGTGTGGTGGAGAAACCACGAAGTGACATAGGCTTCTTGCCTACTTGTACCTTCGTATGTCACCCTCTTCCTATAGTGCCCCTGAGGGTTAGTCATGCTGCCTACACTGACAGTGATGATAAGAAGAAATGGGAAGAACTAGAGAGAGGAGTTTACGCAGGTTTGGGTTCAGAGAAGATGTGGTCCACGGGCGGACCTAGACTTAGGTATCATCTCCTCTACACACAAATCACTGGCTAAGTCACTCAGCTCTCATTGGCCTTCAGCTTCCTCATTCCTGAGGTAGGGATGACCGGTGAGGAGTCAACAGCTCGGAGGTAATACTGTATGTCCATGTGGTTGAAAGGGTTGAGTGAGCTTACACAAGGCAGCATGTGACAGAGGGGGAAGGTTTGGGAGTTGCACAGACTAATTTCAACCCAGACTCTGTGTTACTTTGCAGGGATTTAAAATCCATTCTTTGCAATCTGGGCCAAGTTCTGTGCTGGACTCCTCTGACACTTAGAAATACAGAGATGGAAGCTCTTGTTTGCCAGGATGAGACTTTTAAAGTCTATCCTATAGTTAGGACGGGCCAAACACTGCTCCCCGACCAATATGCTCCTGGGTCTCTTCCAATTAGCTCATAATGCTGAAATTGTGCTTCTAGCATCAGGAAACTGAGCCCCGAGTCACCAAGGCAGGAAAAGAAGGCCTGGCAGACCCTGCAGAGCATATTTATAAAAACAGGGGAGGATTTGCTCCAGTCGCTTCCTAACACTGCTTGGACACCAGTCTTGGTCTCAAGGCTGACTGCTGGGATCCTTGGCAAGTGAGGGGACAGCCCTGCTGAGGAATCAGAGCTGCTGATGAAAATTATATAAAGTTGGGATTGCCTTGAAGAGCCCACTTTAGCTCCCAATGTCAGCCATTAGACCACCTCTTAATTATCCAGCACAGCTGATGCATTTGCCGGCTGCAGGAGACCAAGCAGCTGTTTCCAAAGAAGCAACCAATGAGGCTTCTGGCTTGCAGGGGCCTGAGAGGCACAGGTTCCTAGCCACAATCTACCAAGCAAGAGGCAGGTGTCCAGACAGCCACTGGGGAAGGAATGCAACTTCCTGCTCTCCTATCTCCTTCAGGGCAGACCCTCAGAGCAGAAAGAACCTCCTGCTTTGCATGTGTGAACTGTGATGAGGGCAGTGTGCACATGATCACATGCATATGATCACGTGATGGTGTGTGGAAGACAAGACCATGAGCAGAGAAACCTAACGGTGTTAGAGAAGCAGACTGATAAAGGAAACAGAGATGCTACAAAGGGAATACCACTGAGCTCTCTCCATTACACAGCACCCAAAAGACACAGGGAGGAAGGGGAAAAGCGTTTTGACCTACCTTTTTGGGGTTTCAGTACATCGTTGTGGGGAAGGTTTGGCAGATCCACTGAGGCTGTGGCAGCAGGGCTATGTGCCGGAGGCTGTTCACATCACAGGAGACCAGAGGTGGAGATAATGACAGGAATCTGGAACCAAGGAAGACTTTCAAAGTCCTATCCCTAGTGACCAGTTTCTGCTGGCTAAGCCCCACCTCCTAGAGTTCCCATGGCTTTCCAAATTAGCCAGGATTCCCAAACCAGCCAGGAAGAGTGTTCTGTTCCAAACCTAAGCCAACAGAGGGTAGTTCCCATTCAGATCATAACACTCTCTCTAACAGAGTACAGTTATCCTGGAAAATATCAAAAGGAAGGCTAAAGACAAGTGTGGATGACTGAGGAGCAGTCTTCATCTGGCCCTGTGCACAAGGGTAGCACGGGCAGCAGGGACTCTGTGAGCCAAGGTGATAAGAGAGGCAATCCTGTCGCTGCCACTCTCCTGACCTAAAGGCAGCAGGCTGTCAGTGAACCGCCATGGCAAGGACAGCTGTGCCAGCAACAGCTCTCTGAGATGCCTCAGGGAGAACACAAACTTCACATCCAGATCATGTTACCCCATAGCCATCAGTTCTCCTCACCCACTCTTCCATGCTAAACCACAATGGGAGAACATCAGAGAACTTAAAGACTCCCTAGGGATCTTCTCCCTCCATCCAGGGCTTTTGAAACTCCAGTGATTGGCTTGTCTTTGCCACCTCTCTGTTCTCCTTATCATAGTGTTTCCTTTTAATTACTTGTCCTTGTTTATATCATACTGTGTGACAGTATTTATATCATACTGGGTCCATGGACTCACAGGTTTCCTATGTCTCTTATGTTTTACTTTTCACATATTCCAATATGCAAGATCCCTCAACATAAAAGTGGTCTGTCTGAATTCCATCATTGGTACCCCGGACACCTGCAGGACCCTTTTGGTCTAGTTTTGTTTTATGGGAAGACAGCAGTACAAGAACACATTCAGCAATAGAAAGACCAATAAGACACCACCAGAATCTAGGGACTCTACACCAATAAGACCTGAACATAATAAGGCAGATGAAGCAGAAGAGAATGACCTTACAACGTCATGAAACATTACTAAAACTCAAATCGCACATAAATCCTCACACACTTATAGTGGGAGACTTCCAACACCCCACTCTCACCACTAGACAGGACCACCAGACAGAAACTTAACAAAGAAACAAAAGAACTAACAGAAGTTATGTCCCGATTTGGTTTAACAGACATTTATAGAACATTCCATCCAAACACAAAAGAATGTACCTTCTTCTCAGCTCCACATGGAGCCTTCTCTAAAATCGACCACTTACTCATACTCGGCAACATAGCAAACCTCAACAGATCCAAAAAACATTGGCATAACCCCTGTATTTTATTTTTGAAAATGATTATGTTACACATGGATGAGAGAGTGTAATTCTCCTCGGACCATGCGGTGAAATGCTTTGCCTTCTGGGCCTCATTAACTGCCCTTTGCCACTACTCTGCACATGAAGTTAAGCTTTTGCCCTGCTCGGTGTACCTCTGTAACACATGAAGTCTCCAGAGCCCTGAGCTTGTCTCTGGCAATAACCAGTTTCTCCTGATCACTCAACTCCCCACGACGCCTCTTGCATTGTGGCATTGAGTTACCTAGAATAGAGCCGCCTTCTCCTAGAGCCAACAACATTCCTAGTAATTGATGGAAATGTTTGTAATCTTGGTCCCGTTTTTCACCGATGAGCGGTGAGACACTCAGAAAAGAAACCTGGTAAACATGGACGCCACTTCCAGACTGCCCAGCTCAAGCATCCACCCGAGGGCTTCCTACTGATTCCCTCTGCGTTCACGGTTGCAGGAACTCATCACCGCCTGGTACATCGGCTTCCTGACACTCATCCTCTCTTCATTTCTCGTCTACCTGGTGGAGAAGGATGTGCCGGAGGTGGACGCACAAGGAGAAGAGATGAGAGAGGAGTTCGAGACCTATGCAGATGCTCTGTGGTGGGGCCTGGTGAGTCACCTTTCTTGGAAGGCAACCCTGGGGTGGTTTTATGGAAGCTTGACTGTCAGATGCATGTAAGGTGACAGGCAGAGCATGGGCACACTCAGTCAGCTTCATTCTGCATCCAAAAGTGGACCGCTTCCACCTTCAAATCTGCACAGAGAACAAAGGAAGCTTCTACTGGTGAGGAAGGTAGACAGTTCTCTATAGAGCTTGAAGTAACTAGAGCATGGTTTCCTGCGCCCTGGCCTTATTAGCCATGGGCAATCATCAGCTAACCCATGGCACACAGTCAAGCACATTAACAGATATATTCAGGGCATACAGACATGAAGGCACACATAGAAGCCAACAGGCACACACAAAGGCATTAAATCTGGCACTTCCTAATGTCCTTTGAATCCAAACACCTGTTACTAGTCGCTTTCGAACTTTGGCAAGAAATGGGAGGCAAGAACCACAGAAGGTAAATTAGTTTAATGATTCGTTTAAGACACTTGACATTTAAAGGCAGGCAAATGGGCTGCAGAGGCCATGGTGTTGAGAACTGTCTTGATAAACACATAAACACACACTGGACTCCACTGCTCAGACAGACACATGGACAGAGAGACGTGTACACATGATGGTATACACAAACTCACAAACACAATTCATAACGTGGTTGTCCATAAATCTATACGTTCACAAATACAGTCATTCCTTGGTGTGACAAGAAATTTATTTCAATTTCTTCCACTTCTCTGGGGATGTCAAAATGTACAGATGCTTTTTAAAAAAACATTACAGCATTTGTATGCCTGCCACACACATCCTTCTATGTATTTAAATCACCTCTAGTTTCCTTTTAGTACCTACTGACATGTAAATACTGCGTAAATATAGTTGGCATGCTGTAGTTCTTATTTGTGTTATTTTTATTGTTACATTATCATTTGATTTTTATTCAAATATTTTAAAGCATAGTTGGTTAAATCCAAAGATGTGGAATCCATGGTTATAAAGGAGCAGCTGTACACACACACACACACACACACACACACACACACACACGAGATAGAGAGATGGAGAGAGAGAAAGCAGCTCCCAAGCAATCGGGCACAGCGGCTGAGAGGCAGGGCTCAGTTGACTGTCACTACTGTCCCCTACTCGGGGAAACCCAGTTTGAACTCTTCTTTTCAGATCACACTGGCCACCATCGGCTACGGAGACAAGACACCGAAAACCTGGGAAGGACGTCTGATTGCTGCCACCTTTTCCTTAATCGGCGTCTCCTTCTTTGCCCTTCCAGCAGTAAGTTCTTTCCGTGTGTGACAGGGAGGTCCCCTTCCTGCCTAGACCCAGCTCAAATGCCCAGCCTCAAATTTCACTGCACTGTATCCTTCACTGCACATCCTATCCTCTAGCCAGCTGTCACCTCAGGCATGGTGTGTCTCATCCCTCCTGCATGGTGGCTTGTGTTGCTTATCACCCTGGGTGATATCTTCAAATGCACCCTTGTTTTCTAAGACCCAGGACTAGTACTGCCATCTTGGGTCTGAGTCAGTAGACCCCTCCCATCCTGGCTCCATATGGGTTTGTGCATTTCCTTCTCTGCCTGCCCTCAGAGACTGATATTACTGGGGCCAAGGGCTCTGTTTTTATCTGTTGATGCCCAAAACCTTACACAGAACAGATATTTTACATCTGAATTTCCCCTCTTTGGCCTGACACTTGCTGCCTTAATTTTTTGAATGTTTTTATTTCTCTCAAGAGTAATTATTATGGTGTGAAAGGTCCCCAAAGGGTGGTGTAATGAGAATAAAACTAGAAGGCTCACACTGGAATCAGTGTGTGCTCACATCATGGCAAATGTTTTGCCAGCATCATCTCCTTTGGTCTTCATGCCAATAGTATGAGTTAAAAACTAAGGCTCAATGAAAGGTTCGTTAAACATTCCTGGGATGTGGAGTCACGGGCCTGGAGCCGGTTCTATAGCCTGGCTTCTCGTTATGCAGCTGGGAGAGGACTGTTCTTAAATCACAACCCACAACCATTTCTTTACTGGAGAATTTCTTTTCCCATTGTTAGCCAACTTGTATGTATTTCCCTCGGCTATTTGACTTTCTGTATGATCTTCTTGAACCTGTTTTCTCATCTGTGAAACTGGCACAGGATGGGATGGGTACTATACCATCTCTAATCCTCTTTGCTATTAAATGTATGTGTCTATCTACATAGGCCACAGGACTGTCAGGCCTGGAAATCAAAGCAGATTAAATTCTTGGCAACTCTGCCTATAATACATGTTCCCAGGGACAATTTAAGCAGCTAAAATATTTTTTAAACTCAATTATCATACACAGAGCATCTATTTTGTGTCACGACCCTTGCTGGAACAATTCCTATTTATCTCCTAGGTTTTTCCTGAGATCACTGTGAGGTAGGTACTATGATCCAATGGCCCTGTAGAAGACAGAGCACAGATAAGAGCCTTGCTGAACTGTCAGACTGGAAGCCAGACATTTTTTGGATTCGGGCTAGTTTCCCTTAACCAGACCTCCTACTCCAGGAGAAGAAAAGAAACTTTCTCTTTCTCTCCATCTTGTATTGCCATGGCAAAATCCCTTTTCTTGTGGTTATGACCAAAATGCCTGGCAAGAAGCAATGTAAGTAGGGGAAGTTATATTATTGGCTTACAGTTTGAGGGGACACAGTGCACCGTGTCAAGGAAAGCATGGCGGCAGGAACAGGAAGCAACTATCACATGCATGAACAGTCTGGAAGCAGAGTGGCCAAGCTGTAGCGCCAGGATACAAAATACCTAAACCTTCTCCAGTGACTTAATTCCTCCAGTAAGCCTCCACCTCCTCGAGACTCCACGATCTTCCTAAATGGCCACCAGCTGAGGATTCCAGGCACATGAACTGTGTGTGACATTTCACATTCAAATGATAACACTGGCTTCAGAGTGTCACTAAACGCTACATTCTCTGCTACCCCAGAAATGAGGCTTGGGGGCTGAGAGAGCCCGGTGCAGCTGACTCAGGTTTGACTTCTTGCAGGGTATCCTTGGCTCAGGACTGGCACTCAAGGTACAGGAGCAGCACCGTCAGAAGCACTTTGAAAAGAGAAGGAAGCCAGCCGCTGAACTCATCCAGGTCTGTGTGCCTGGGGGTGAACTAAGATGGGCCGAGGGGTGTGTGTGTGTGTGTGTGTGTGTGTGTGTGGACAGAGAGAGACAGAGACAGACAATAACAGAGAAAAAGAACAAAGACACACCCCTAGACAGGAGAGGACCAGCTGGCATTTGTTCCGTTCCTTTGTAGGTGGTTACAGACATCACCATGGTTACCTACACGGTCTATGTGTGTTGACAGTGAAAGCCTTGCCGTTTTCCACCCAAATAATATGCCACGAAAGTACTCCCGGTACTCAAGGAGGAAATCATTGACTCAAGTACTCAGGGGTGAAACCATTTGATTTTTTTTTTCCCCCTGACAATTTGGAAAGTGAAGAATTTGGTTTAGACCTGACTTTTCTTAGCTTCCTTTTCATTCTTCTTCCCATCCTAGGATTGATCCAATGATCCACAGAAAAAGATAGCTGACAATCCAGGTTCTTCGTGAGCTACAAGGGGGACTGTGATTCCTTCCTGTCTGTCAGCGGTAGAGAGCCCATGGGGAGAGGGGGAGGGACAGGGGAGATAGAGAGAGAAACCGAAAGCATGCGAAATATTGGATCCTTCGCCAGTTTGTCCTGCCCTCGACAATCATTGTACAGGAGATGGTAGATACCTGGTTCTGCCCACAGGCTTGAGGAAGAGTAATAAAAGGGATAAAACAGAAGTAACTGCTCCTATTGGGAATCATAGTTTGTACCATGATTTTATGGGCCATTAGGAGCAGGAGGGCATAGTAAATAGGACATTAGTGTGTCTCCTCCACCAACCCCTGGTGACTTCCTGAGCGCTAAGGGCATTTCTGGTTACCCAGAGCTTGAATCCAGTTGCAGCAGGTACTTCTGTGGGTCTGTGTGGCTGACACAGCATGGTAGCTGTTTCTAAGCCAATCTCAATGCTCAAAGTCTGCTTGTTCCTTTATGGGGTCTCTCAAACCCCAAGCCATCAGAGCATCCCAGAAGTTTAGTCCAGGGGAGCCATCTCTCAGCCTCTCTTCTGCTCAGAAGTAGCACAAAAGACTCTTTTCCCATATAATTGACCAAACAGTGTCAAGGAGCTCCCTGGAAAGAACAGTCACTGTTCTTTTACAGGGACTGTTTATCTCTTCTCTCTATCCCAATTGGCCAGCTTACCACAGCACCAGCTGTCGCTCCAAAATGGTCAAGTCTTTCCTCTAAAGAATCTGTCAGAAGCCAAGAGCCTCTGCTTCATTGAATCCTCACTAGATGGACATTCAAATTCTTTGGAGACAAGAGCTTAAAAGCTGTTTCGATGTCGTGGGAAGCTGTGTGAACATTTCATGTGACACTCACATCATTCTGTTTCCTCTTTTCTCCTCCTCAGGCTGCCTGGAGGTATTATGCTACCAACCCCAATAGGATTGACCTGGTGGCAACCTGGAGATTTTATGAATCCGTTGTCTCTTTCCCATTCTTCAGGCAAGTAGTCACCTGTCCGAGTGTTCCCAGTATGTCACAGTCTCGTAGATTCCTACAGATTGTCTTCCAAGGCAAGGGAGAATGGTCTGCAATATGGACCACATATTAACATCACTGGAGAACTTAAAACGAACAAACAAAACAATAAAACCTTGATATCTGGACATACTTGACCTAATTAAGTCTGAATCCTCAGAAGTAAAACCTGACATCACTAGTTTTCAAAGCTTTCTAGATGTCCCAGTGAGCAATTAGAGGTAAACAGCATGGCACTAGAAAATAGTTGTATGAACAAAATTAGACAGAAGAAATCGAAGCCAGCACAATGAGCTGTCATAGCAGTTTGGTGGTTCCTCCACCTAACCACAGCCTACACTCACAGACCATTTGAACAAAGGGAACAAAGGCAGGGGTGACCTCTGGAAACCTACTGGCAGTGTTTCATGTTCTTAGAGTTGAAAACTTGAACTAAGGGGCCATGGGATGGGTAGACTATTCCCATGGCTAGCATAAGGAGAAGAGAAAGGAACTTAACATGCAGTGATATTCACTGTGTTCAAATTTCCCAGTCTGTGTTTCATTTAATCCTAATAGATTCTCTTAGATCAGTCAGTGTTCACAAATGTCCAGAGCCAGCATACACCTTCAATTATGATGGGTGTGTGGTGGTAAAACTGTCTGGACCCAGAGCCATGATTTCAGCCTACCATAATGGTTCATGGTGAACACTGAGTAGCCAGATGAATGGTTGATGATATCAGGTTCTACCGATTAGTGACCTAGGTCTCAAAATTCTTGAATGTTTTCGTAGTTTTCTTAATATCATGCTTTTCTCGCTGCCTGGATTCTAAAGTAGGCTCCTCCGTTTAGTGTTTTGGTGCTGTGGTCTTGAGTCCAAAGTTCTGGATAGAGAGGTGTTAAACTTTAAGAACCCTTGACTTAGGAGACAAGGTTGAGACACAGCTAGCTCGTCTTGGGGTAGGGTCTGCTCTGAAGTGTTTACTGGAGCATGCTCCACAAACCAGTGACTCCCTCAACACCTACCTGATTCTCCCACACATTCATGACTGGTTCATGAATATTGCCTGAATTTATCCTTGTACTCTCGCCAATACATTATACTTAAAGATTTAAGGAAATTTGGTCAACAAGATGGCTCAGTGTCTAAAGGCTGGCTGCCACCAAAACACACACACACACACACACACACACACACACACCAATCAGTATATTTTAAAAGATTTAAGTGAATAGAAGGGTTCTAAATTTATGGGCTCACTGCTTTATTTAAAAACTTTACAATCAGTAACCATAAGTGACATGAAAATGTGAAACCTGATCATGACATTGTAGAATTGCAAGCCCAGCCCCAGAAAATCTTTCCTACTTCATCTTCAATGGACGTTTACTTCTCAGGAAGGTCTGATGTCATGAGCCTAAGAAGAGAGAAGAGATGAGATGGGGAGGTGGGGGGTGATCTGAGAAAGATAAATTGATGACTTGTGGAAGAAGTAAGAGGCAATGATGAATAATTAAATAGAGGAGTAAGTTTGGGTTACTCACTGTATCTTCTAACTTGATAACTTACTTGCTTGGATGTTGCTAATTGTGTTTCTAAAAGTCACTTACTGCTATTATTGATTAAGGGACAGAATAAATCAGAGCCTTCCTAGAATGGGCCAGTTCCCTCCCCACCCTTTAAGTAAACAGGATGACCTTAGACTCAAAACTAAGAACATGTGTGCCCAGACTGAATGTAGAGCCAAGATGCTTTTCATTAGCTTTGCGTCCCAAGACCTTGGCAATGGGCCCATTCTTTTTGGTTGATTTATTATAAACACGACACTGTCCTGGCTGTCAGACACTTGAGGGCTACATTGTGCTGCAGGCAGCTGCTGTGATGTGCGGATGGCTTTTAAACTAAGAGGGAACATTTCTTCCTTGTTTTGTTTTTCAAGGACGAAAGTACAGAGTCACTAGAGAAACTCACTTAGCAACCACTCTGAAAGGAGACAGCCCTTTGGGAAAAGAGTGTCCCTGAGTGCCAGCCCACACCATATGCTAGTGACAGAGGAAAAAGCAGGTACCCTAATTTGTCCTCACCTGCTTCCCACAGGATTTTTCCTTTTGTTTACTTTTTTAACAATAATTGTATTGAGATACATTCCACTACCCATAAGAAGACAGAACAGTGGAGTGGTTCTGAATATATTCTCAAAGTAGGGCATCATTCGGCACACCAACTCCCGAGCAATTTTGTTGTGTCTGAAAGAAATCTTGCCTTCATTTGTGGTTTCTCCTGGTCCTCTCTCACTCCATCCCTCGTGACCATGTTTATAAGTGAAGAGTCAGAGCCCCGAGACTAAGATCTGATAGGCTCCAACAAGTCCGTGCTGGAAGAGAGACTGGAGCCCAGTTCTTCTGCCCAAAGCTCTTGTTCTTCCATTGTGTGTCTGGGAAGAAACACCTGTTTTAGAGAGAAGCACGTGATACTCTGGCCCATCCTTACCTGCATCCCACGGGTTTAGGTCAAGGGTTATTTGTCTCAACAGTGCCCATTTCTGAAGGGGTTGGTGTTATAAGGGTGAAACTGAGTTATGTGTGTGACGATATCTTCCTTGGTAGCTGCTGCATGGCAGCTTATTCAAATCAATGATGATTAAGTGTGCTGTGGCGAGATCTATGAGATTTAGTGGAGGCAATGGGAGCAAGAAAGACACTGGGCTCAAAAACTGTAGTCTTAGGAAACAACTGTGGGCAATCCCATAGCAAGAACACCCTGTCTGGATTGAAGCCCAGCCCAGTTGACTTGATGCATGAGCAAGACTGCTTCACATAGCGAAGATGAGTAGAGGATCCTAGGCAGAGCTGAGCAAAGACTCCAAGTGGCAACTGTGTGGCCAGCATGTTCAGCCAGCCCCATCACTACAGGGCATGCTCTGGATCATTATCCAAACTCTACAGCTTCATGTCTGAGACCTCAGCAGTTTATTAAATTTCTTTGTCCCTCAACTTCCCCAACAGGAAAAAAAAGGGTACAATAATAGTATTTACCCCTTAGATAAGATATGAAACAATTTAATGTCCAGTCAACATACGCAGTGGTAATGCTGTTGACCATGATGGCGGGGTGAGTACAGCAGTCATTGCCGGTCTTGATTTCCTCATCTGTCTTTACCACGGAACAAACTTTCTGAGATGAGCGATGAATCTCAGGGTAGAGTAGGTGCTCGCCCACTTTCCCGATGAGTGAGCAGCTAAGACAAACTCGGGAGCACAGGACCAAATGGTGGTGGCAGGCGCATGGGGCACATGGCAAAGCCTGCCTCGTACCTTGGTTCCCTTCCACACCCACCATCTTGTTCCAGAATGTTTTTTATTCCATTTGTTCTACTCTACCTTCCAAGTGAATTACTGTGGCGGACTTTGGGACAAGATGCAACCGTTTCACACTATTTACATTTCTTTTTCTTTTTTCCCCTCTTCTGTAGGAAAGAACAGCTGGAGGCAGCAGCCAGGTACATGTCTGCTTATGAAGCCCCTTCTTTCACCATGGTTTTGGGGGGGGTTCAGTTCTGCATGGAGGAAAGCTACTAGACAGCCATGTTTGTCACAGCTAGTGTTTGGTGCTCACTCTATTGCTGAACACTGATTCCTCCGCCATTTTCATGTCAACTTAGCTACAGACAACTTAATATGAATAATAGCAACTACATAGTGAATGCCGGTCTCCTTGGAGCTAGGCTCTGAGCAGGTTATCACACTTGAGCTTCACAATGACCACTGGAGATAAACCCTACTATTCTCCTGTGTGGATGAGGAGTCAGGGACTCAGAAATTCCTAACACCCAAACGGCAGCTAGCAACTGTCTGTAACTCCAAGATCTGACACCCTCCTATAGACATACATGAAGGCAAAACATCAGTGCACATATTTAAAAAAAAAATATGTTTGCCGTTGTACTTTTCTCCATTTGCTTCGTGGGTTCACAACACAGAGGGCACTTAAGAAAGCAAACACAAACTGCAGTTCATAACCTCCATGGCCAGGAGGCTTTCCAGAAAGTCGTGTGCACTGCAGGGTGATGCAGAGAAGAAGAGGTTCAGTGTTATGCATGACTACTTTCCTCAACTTCTTACCCCTCTGTACAAAGTGTCCAATGTCCAGACTCGGTTCTAGGTTATAAAGCAAGATGAGTCACTTTGACAAAATAGTTTGAGATGATAAGAGATGACAACACACTATTACTCGGAGTGGTACTTGATTTAAATGTATGGAGTGTTTTCTGGATCTCTACATAGCATTTTTAAACTAAAGGTTACTGTAGGTAACTGAAACCATGGTTAGGAGTCCTGTATGTTATTCCAAATATATTTATATATCGATTTTCTGGTTCTGGTTAAATTGGGGATCAAACAGGTGTATTTGAAACTTTTCTGAAGTTGTTCCTCTGAGTATAGAAAAGAGGTGCAAAGGAAAATCTATTCCCTGATTCTTTGGGGTAAGACTTGGATTTTGCTGTCTCATCTTCTGCAGAGAATATTAAAGTTGGTTATAGAAGGCATTCAATCCTCTTTATTCAGCATTTGAACAGTAGTCATGTAAGGCTGGTAGGTTGATGAGGGAAACAATGGGAACAAGTAAATACACAGCCTGGAGTGAGAGACAGAGATCTTAAGGAAGGGTGAATTCAGTGCCTTCATCCAAGAAGGGAGGGAACAAGATGACAATAGAATGCTTAACAACAAGCAGATGATTTAAGTGAAAACTTGCTACTGTTCATTGGTTACCTTTTGATTGGCTTCTTCAAGAGGCTGCCAATCAACTACATTCCAGCCTCACCTTGTCATTCTCTCCAAATAGAGTGCAATCTGAAGTTCCTCTTATCGCCTCCTCCTAGAAGAAACAGCCCACATGTTTTCTTGTTTTCTGTTTCTTTCCAGATCCAGATGCATTCTTGAGGGTGAGGAAGGCAATAATTTAGTCAGCATACTGGTGGGAACTCAAGTTCCTGCTTGCTTACAACATGATTGCTTATTTAGGCCTTTCTTGACTGTTTCAGTTCCCATGGACTTGCTTGTGGGACGTAAGCCCAGCTGATTCCATACAGTTGACAGAACTGTTGGCTCTGATAATGTTACACTTCTTCCTTGGTGTACTCGATCCTGTGACTAACCCAAATGGAAAGGGACAACTCCCATGATAGGCTCACAGAGAGATGAACACTTAGTATACCATGCTGCTTGTCTCCTCCCATTTCTTCTCACCTGGTTTGAATATATCCATTGTGATGACCTTGGCCGGGATTTGGAACTTTTGTAACAAAGTGTGTGTGTGTGTGTGTGTGTGTGTGTGTGTGTGTGTGTGTGTATTGAAGCTAAACCTGTGCCTGAAATATAAATATTTGCTGAGTAGATAAATAACCTATTTTATCTCCGTGTCACTTCCAAGGAGTTGACCTAAAGTGTTCACACACCTTTCAATGCCATCAACACAGAAATGGCCAGAGTAGGATTTCCATCCTCCTTCCACCCTTTAGGAAGGAATCTCCCTACAGTGTGGGTCATCAATGCTCTCAGCATTCATGAGTGCAAAGTGAGCTCAGTTAACCCAGGAGACACATGATCTGGTCTTAGAGAAGTCTCAATCAGCCAGATACTCTTCTTGCATGATTTCATGTGGTCCCCTTGTCTGCTTCTCTTGGGATTCTGCCTGATGTTCCCTGCGGAAAGTGACCTTCTCTGACCCTTAACTCTTTCCCCGTCATTCTCTTTCCCTTTATCCTGCCTCAGGGTCCTTCATGGCATCGATGATTACCTAATATAGTTGTTTCTTTACTGCTTTTTTCTGTTTAACTGGATACCTCTGAGGCACCTAGATATAACCTGAAAACCTGGCCAAATTTGTGTATATACACAGATAGAGTATAGGTAGATAGATGACTGGGTGGATGGAAGACAGGTAAGGTAATGGACCAATGGGCAGATAGGTGGATGGGGGATGTCAGTGTATGGATGTTTGGATGGTGGGTGGTTGACTGACTGGACAAAGTCTGTATTATATAAAGAATAGAAACTCTAACATGTATGCTTCTACATGTCAGAGTGGAATAAGCTACTATGAATGACAAACTCCATTACGTTCACCTGGGTGAAATGAGAGAATAGAGGAAATAAGTTCCTGAATATAACGAGGTACTCCCCTTCCCATGAATGGTGAACACAGCAGCAAGTAGACAAAGTTACTGTCTGTGATAGGTATAGAGTCCATCCATTCATTTCAAAGTCTTAGTTAATACTATTGCACCCAGGGACATCTACATTAAGCTACACTAAACCTCATTTATTCTACAGTGTATTGGGAGAAACTAGTATTTTATGTTCTGGCCAGTACTTTAACTGTCGGTTGTAGGTATTCAGTATATAGGCATTGAACCTCCTGCTGGTAATTAGAGTGTCTTTGTGATGGAAACTAGGAGTTTTAAATTCTAAAAACAGGTAACTATGTTGACAACTGCTTGCCTGAACCCAATTGTTCAATTTATATTTTCAAACAGTTTACTCTGAATAACATCCTTCAGAATATGTATTTGTCTTCGGAGAACAAAAACATCGTCTGAGACACCTTCCTTTTCTCTTATGGGTGATTATGTCTTTCTCATTTAGCAGAAGATTATTCTTTTGGATCAAAGGATTTAAAGTAATGACAGGAACTTAGAAAGAAAGAATGAATATTGTCTGCCAGGCGTGGCTCTGTATACATCAAACCTCACAGCCAGCCTATGCTCTAATTACTATTTTTAATCCTCATTTTATACATAACTACCAAGATTCAAAGAGGGAAGGCCTTTGCACAGTATCTGCGAATAGAAAGACACAAAGAAAGGATTGGGCCCAGCTGGTATAGGTCCACAGGTCCTGGTCCCAAGCACAATGTTAATCCTTGCAGTTACATCTTTGGTCACTGCAGGTGGCCCTTTTGCTTGTTTATTTTCCTTTACCCTGTCTTGGCTCACAGAGCTGAAGTCCTTGCCAGAATAGGAGGCTATAGAGGCCGGAAAAGGCACAGAGCCAGAACCCACTGTGCAAAAGGAGAGCAAGCAGCCCAGTGCTGCCATTCATACTCTATCTCTCCCTCTGACATCACCACGTGAAATTCATCTCACAGCCAGCCATGAGCGCTGTTGGCAACAAAGTCCTTCCCGACCTAGAACCAGTCATTGTGAAGGGGGAAGAAAAATTCTGATAGCAGTTAGCCCAGTCCCCTAATTTTACTGATGAGAAAATTACTGCTCAGTGCAAAACAAGAGGTTTGGGTATGACCCCATACAATTAGTATTTCCTCCTGCTGTCCAGTCCTGCAACACTGGCCCAAGCTGCAGAATAACAGAGATGCTGAATTGAGATTTGGGCCAAAGTGGTGTATCCTGAGTGATCCCTGGCATGTTGTAAAGGCTTTGCCTCTATTTTCCCTGAGAAATAATTGGGATATCATGGCTATTTACAGCACACCTTTCACACTGGATTATGATTGGGTTGGGATATAGATGCTGGAGCTGAATCAATAAATAAGTTTTATTTGCAGTGCTGGCTCTGGGCCTGACATTTCATAATACTCCCCACCAAGTCTGGCTTTGAGAGCAACATAGGAATGAACAGACTAGACTCTGTCCCGGCCGCCATAGTAATGGTGTGTGTGGCCTTGATGACACCATGATGCAAGGAATGCTTGAGAAAAATCACATATGGATACTGATTATTAAAATGCAACCTACTCCATCCAGCAGTGTTGGATAGCATCCATTTCCATGTACGATCCAAGTGAATGACTTACCTTCTCCCATGGGAAGAAACTAAATGACAGCTAGTGTATTCTTCTGGGTTCTTCAAAGGGTATGGAAACCCCATTTTTATGACCAGGAAAATGTGAAAAAGGAAGTTCCTCTCTATACATACCTCATGTAACATCTCTCCTGCAATCCCCTCTCTCCTTAAGACAGAAGAACTTGGCGTGTCTCTCCTGGTCCCACAATACTAAAGGCTATGACTTATTCAGCCATTCAACTGTCATTGATAGGTGTATCAGTGTCCTCAGCTAGCCGTAACAAATTACCACAAACAGAATGACTGGATGATTTTAAACAACTGAAATTGATCACGGATCAGGAGGGCGGAAGTCTGACATCAAGATGTCACCCGGATCATGCTCCCTCCAAAGACATTTGAGGACAGTCTTTCTCAACTCTTCCTAGTTTCAGGCGGTCAATGGCAATCCTTGGTTTGCCATCATTCCAATCCATGCCTCTTCCTTCCCATGGCCTTTTTCTTTCTGAGTACATCTGTACCAAATCCCCCGTTTTCTTTTTTATTATAAACATACTACTCATTGGATCAAGGGTCTGCCTTATTCCAGTATGACTTTAATTTGGTTATATCTAGAAACATAGTTTAGGTCTTGAACTTATTTGGAGGAACAATTCAAACTTCTACTGTTGTAATCGTGTGGACAAGACCCTTT